TTATATAATAATTTGTTTGTTAAAAGGTGATTGTATATTCTGTTGTACAAAATTCTTTCTAAAATTTTAGAAAAAACAGAGAGGATGGAAATTGGACGATAGTGTTTTACATTAGTTATTTCTCCTTTTTTAAATATAGGAATAATTTTTGCTATTTTTAAATCATCAGGAAAAACTCCCTGATTAATAGAGCATTTAAAAATTTGGAAAAGTATGTCTTTTAAAACGTCAAAACAGCTTATAATAATATTTCCGTTGACATCATCAGGACCAACTGCTTTATTTGACTTTAACAATTTAAAATCATTTTCAAACTCTTCAAAAGACAAATCAAAAGAATTTAGATACGAGTTTAGAGGTTCATATGTTGGTTTTATTAATTTTTTAGGGTTCGGAATTTTTTCGGCTAGGTTTGGTCCTGCAGATACAAAATATTCATTAAATTCAGAAGCAATTGATTTTTGATCAAGAAGAAGATTATCATCTGCTTTAATAACTGAGGGCAAAGATTGCGACATTTTGTTAGTGTTACCAGTAATTTCGTTTATTAGTTGCCAAGTGCGTTTTGAGTTTAATTTGTATTTTTCAAATAAATTAGTGAAATATATTTTTTTTGAATTTTTCCTTAGGCGTTCAAATAATCCTACGTAATTTTTATAAATAGTCTTACTCTCAGTTGTTTTTGATTTTAAATATTTAATATAAAGTTTTTGCTTAATTTTTGAAGATTTTAGAATACCTTTAGTAATCCATGGCGATACAATTTTTTTATATTTTTAATTTACTTCTACTTTGGGAAAATTGATGTCATAAATTTCATAAAAAATTTTAAAAAAGGATTTGTATATTAAATTAATGTCTTCAGAAAAGTTTATAATGTCCCAATTAATTAACGGTAGTTGATATTTAAAAGATTCTAGGTTTTTATTATGAAAAATTCGTTACTTAAATGATTTTTTTTTTCATAACATATAATTTTCGAATTAGTATCAATTGAAAAAAATATAGGGAAGTGATCAGATATATCACTTTTAATAATGCCTTTTTTAAGCGAATTATTAAAAATTTCGTTGGTTATAATGTTATCAATTAAGGAAGTTGTTGTTTGAGTAATTCTAGTTGGTTTGTTTATTAGAGGAACTGCTCCATTTTCAAATAGGCCATTATGAAACCCATTAATGTCTTTTTTGACATGATACTCAAAGCAATTTAAATTCAGATCTCCTAATATGTAAAGTATTTTTTTTTTCATGGTTGCTTTTATTTATAACATCATCTTGTAAAAATGTACTAAATTATTTTAATTACGCCTGTAGGTGGGCGATAACAACAGCTAATCACAGTGTTGCATGTTCATAATGGGCGATAACAACAGCTAATCACAATGTTTACATAATTTGTAACTAATAATTACTAATTAGCGAGTCATTTTTTCCATATAACATTAAGCTTGTTCAAACAAGGCTTAGCTACATCCCAAAATTCTATGACATTGCGTAATTTAAAAAAAAGCTTGATGGTTTGCAGTGGCAGGGAAACACCTTGTGCGTTAAAATACATTTATTTTGCAATATGTAGTACATATTATAAATGCATTAAAATGTTAAAAAATGTTTTTCAACAGTTAGTATTTTACCTAGCTAGCTAGATCTGCAAGAAAGCAAATTTTACCCATGTAAGTGCCAAAGCTTTGGCTCCGGCCGAAGCTTCGGCTTCGGTACATCCCTAGTAAAAACTTGTTTATTAAATCCGTAGAAACCAGGTATCAAAACCAGGCCATGTTTACATAAAGCAAGTGATGTAATATTTTTCATTTGTTGTTCACTTTCTATAATTTGTTTTAAATGTAAATGTAAATTAATCTAGGCTAATCGAGTTTTTAAATAATTTTTGTTCGAGTTACTTTTTACATTAAAATCAAATTACAGAACTTCATATTATTGAATTGAATAAAATACTTTTTATTATTATTAGTTTATAGAAACTTTTGATTATTATTAATAATCAAAAGTTTCTATAAACTAATAATTCGAGTTACTTTTTACATTAAAATCAAATTACAGAACTTCATTTTATTGAATTGAATAAAATACTTTTTATTATTATTAGTTTATAGAAACTTTTGATTATTATTAATAATCAAAAGTTTCTATAAACTAATAATTCGAGTTACTTTTTACATTAAAATCAAATTACAGAACTTCATTTTATTGAATTGAATAAAATACTTTTTATTATTATTAGTTTATAGAAACTTTTGATTATTATTAATAATCAAAAGTTTCTATAAACTAATAATTCGAGTTACTTTTTACATTAAAATCAAATTACAGAACTTCATTTTATTGAATTGAATAAAATACTTTTTATTATTATTAGTTTATAGAAACTTTTGATTATTGAATTGAATTGAATAAAAGTATTTTATTCAATTCAATAAAATGAAGTTCTGTAATTTGATTTTAATGTAAAAAGTAACTCGAACAAAAATTATTTAAAAACTCGATTAGCCTTGATTAATTTACATTTACAACAAATTATAGAAAGTTAATGAGTATACTCTTAAAACAAAGTTAAGTGTATACTCTTAATACAAACTCTGTACTTATGAGACTTTTAAAAAATGAAACCCAAGTATGTGCGGCCGATATTAGAGAACTTGTGCACCAGTTTGGAGCCCTTTTTTACAAAAGGACATTAAAAAGTTAGAATCAGTTCAACGTAGAGCAACGAAACTTGTTTCGCAATTGCGCAATATGAACTACAAATCACGTCTGGCAAATCTTGGTCTCAGCTCATTAGCTGAACGTAGATTAAGATCTAATATTGCCTCAAAAAATATTGCCATGTTATACCGAACAAAACCTTTTCTTAATAACGAGTCTTTAAAAAATTTATATTTTTCGTTTATACACAGCAATCTTTCATACTGTAACATTTCCTGGGGTAGCACTAATCACACTAAACTCAAAAAAATTTATAGTAAACAAAAACATGCTTGCAGGATAGTATTTGGGGCAAATAGAAAAACACAATGTGAACCTCTCTTACGTCAGCTTGGAGCTTTAAATATTTATAAACTTAATATTCATCAAGTAATGTTATTTATGTTTACTTGGGTTTTCTCCAGTAACATTTCAATCCTACTTTAATGAAATCTCCCATAAATATCCAACCAAATTTTCAGTGAATAACTTTGTGGTTCCCACAAACCTTCTTAAATTAAGTTCGTACCAAATTCAATATCGTTTGGAAAAAATTTCTTCCAATCTTTAGTAAAAAACAAAACTTCGTTTTAAACTGCACTTTGCAAAATTTTAAGGATAATTCAAAACGGAATTTACTGAACATGGAATTTGATATATTAGATTTCAAATACCTTTTTTGAAAAAAATTTAAAGGTTTAAACTAAATCACTTAAAAATAAATTAAATCTTTATCACTTTCTTTGGCTTTTATTAAAATGGTTTCAAACCATTAGTATAAAAGATAACTATTTTTGATGATATTAAATAATCAGCTCAAATACTTATGTTTACATATATTTCTTTTTTTTTTTAATTAAACAACGCATTTTTTTTTTTGTGTTTTTATTTACTTTCATGATTTTCTGTCGTTTTTACTTTTTTATTTTGTTTAAAATTATTCTGCTGGAAGATTGTTAGCAACAAATTATTTTATTGCTGAAGTTTTTGATTTGTTTTTGTTTTTGTATTTATACTGTCTTTTTGTCTTTTATCATTTATTGTGCATGTAAATTTTTGTGTGACGGGGCTCGGTGATAAGACAACCTGTCTTCTTCTTGCTCCGGCCAGGATTTTCTTTTATTTTAATTTCTTTTTTGTAATATTTATCAACGTCAAAATAAATAAATATATATATATATATATATATATATATATATATATATATATATATATATATATATATATATATATATATATATATATAATATATATATATATATATATATATATATATATATGTATATATATATATATATATATATATATATATATACTCATATAGTGTCGCTTTAAGAGCATTTTAATGTAAAAAAAGTCTCTTACGACTACAATTTTAATTACTCGTCTCTTAAGCTGTTTTTGATTGTCGTCGAAATGTCAAAGCAATTAATTTATGCGGAAGTACATTAAATTTAATTGTTTTTTAACAAATTTTTAAAAAACCGCAATTATAACGACTAGAAAGTTTTTTTTAATTAGTGGTGTTTTTGTTATTGATTTAATAAAAAACATTTTTTAAACATGCGTAAATGTTGCTACATCGACTATCTTATAGCCTGACTCGCAACGGAGTGCTGCTACATCGACTGACAAATAGCCTGACTCGCAACGGAGTGCTGCTACATCGACTGACAAATAGCCTGACTCGCAACGGAGTGCTGCTACATCGACTGACAAATAGCCTGACTCGCAAGGGAATGCTGCTACATCGACTGACAAATAGCCTGACTCGCAAGGGAGTGCTGCTACAACGACTGACAAATAGCCTGACTCGCAAGAGAGTGCTGCTACATCGACTAAGGGTTTGGTTTGGCCAGGCAGTCTATCAATTAAAAAAAAAAATTTAATTTTTAAAACTTTTTCTGGTCTGGTTTATTAACGCGCTCTTTAAAACTACAGTTTATGGGAAATATTTTTTGATGCTACGCAAGAGACATGCAAGACTATATATATATATATATATATATATCTATATATATATATATATATATATCTATATATATATATATTTATTTATTTATATATCATATATAAGCTGTTAAGCGCAACAAGAGCCTAACACACAATGTAATAAATGTGAATAATAAATGTAAAAATATGAAAGGTGAGCTGCCCAAAAATCAAATCAAATCAATCATTGGGCCATTATCTGTGGTCGCTAAAACTCTAACAAAATGCAGCCTCGATTTCGAGTTTACCTTCCCGTCGCTCTTTGCGATCATTTAAATCGAAAGCAAATTCCTTTTTAAATAACATACATCAAATTTGATTAAGGTATTTGTTGGTGTACTGACTTGTTTCAATATCTTGATTAAATTCTTTATGAAAATGAACAAAAAATTATATGCATGTATGTAGGAAACAACATTCTGAATTATCCTAAAATTAATAGCTTAATTTTTGTAATGTAATCTGGTTAACAGCATAAAATACGCCAAGATTAAGTAAAAAATTGCGTAAAAGTAAAAGTAAAGCAATAAGGAGTATAGATACAAAAAAAAAATTATTAGTAACATAATACGTGCGGTATTCTTTTGTTTCTTTTTTTTAGAATCTTAATTTTAATTAAATTTCATGTTAATATTATCTCCTCAAGTTTACTGTTAAAAACTTTAACTGTATTTATACTGTATAACAATTTATACTTTAATAATTATAAATTGTAACTTGTGTTTCTAAAAATATTTTACACATTCAACATTTTTACACTGTATCACTATGTTAAAGTGTGACCATCTTAATCTAAATTAAGTTTTACACTTAGCTCTCCTGTGTAAAATTTTGGTCAACAAGACTGCAAATAACCACTATTAGAGTTGGAAATTAATAGAGAAAAGATAATTGACTGAATATTTATCCAAACATATTATTAAAAATACTAATATGCATTATTTAGAATGATATTTAAAAAGTATAAATATTCATTGATAAATTTTAAAATTAGTACTAAATAGTTTTACCAAAAAAAAATTTATACTTACTATAGGTATCTATAAATTGCTATGCATAATTAAACAAATGTTTTTATTTATAAAAAATAACATTTAAATAGGCATAAAATGGAAGATACAGAAAATGGAGTTGTTCAAGCACTAGTGAAACAAAAAGTTGAGGATATGCTAACAGATGTATTAAAAGATGATTTAAATACTGTCTTAAGTCCTGATGACGGTGAAATTGAACCAGGTGAAGTTCCTTCAATCGAAGGTTTGTAAATTTTAATAAAATGATTTAATTTAAAATTTAAAAAGATGTTTTAAATTTGTATAATATACAATCAATTACTTTTTGCTCTTTACAAATGATTCTTACTGATGATTGATTGATATTTATTAGAACAAAGTATAAATACATGTCCTAAAAAACACGAAGGCCCAAAACTATAAAGAAACAAATAGTTGTTCCTTTTACAATAGATATTTATGAAAGTCAAAAGATATAATTTTATTTTTGAACGTTAAATTAAAAAAAAAGTTAAAATTGATGATGATTGTTTTTAGTGCTTTTTTATGCTTTACACATTTTTATAGACCATTCTCTTAATTTCAAAAATTTTAAAAGTAACCCTTATTAGAAAAATAAATTACTTATAATATGAGTTTTATTTTTTTTTTTTAAGTATAAAGGTTTATGTGTTTATAAACTGTTATAATTGTAGGTTATTAAATTCAGTAAAAATAAAATATTTATTTTTTAAATATTTTTATGTGATAAATATAAAATTATAAGACTTAGTGGTCAAAGAATAATAATAGTTATTGAGAGAAAACTATATTGCATAAAAAATATTGTGTTTAAAATACCATTACATTTTGCAATTATTTATGTTTCCTTTTAATGCTTGTGCACAAAAATTACTGTTTTAAATTATAAATTTCTGAGTTTTATATTTTCAATTCAAAACTTTTTAAAATTAAAATTTAGTCTCTTCTGAAAGCTGTTTTGTGTAAGATTAAAAATAATAAAATGTTTTAATAGTTAATTTATTAAATAAAACAACAACATAAAAAAATAAATTGTAACATTAATTAGATAATTGTAAGCATGATTTATAACTAGTTTCTTTCAATTTTATCAATAAATATCTGTAATTATGAAAAGTTTGATTAATGAAATATAAAAAAACTCGTCATCAAAAACACTTATTTTAATACATTTTCTTTCTCATTTAAAAAGTAAATCGTTTCATTAGTCATTAGCATTCCAATTAGTGTTTTCTAAAATTTGTAAAAAGTTTTTATTAGTTATACAGCATTCTTTTGTCAGTAAATATTTCGAAACTACCATCTACTCGATAATATGTTTGAAGAAAAAAATTTTTAAACTTTGTATATATATATATATATATATATATATATATATATATATATATATATATATATATATATATATATATATATATATATATATATATATACATATATATATATATATATATATATATATATATATATATATATATATATATGTATATATGTATATGTATATTATGTATATATGTGTGTGTGTGTGTGTGTGTGTGTGTGTGTGTGTGTGTGTGTGTGTGTGTGTGTGTGTAATGTATATATATTTATATTAATGTATATGTAAATATATATACATATCAGGCCTTCTCAGGAGAATGACCACGCATGAATGACCACGTATTTTTTTGTTGATAACATGGCCATGATTTTTTTTACATTTAATAAAAATGATGCATTTTAAAAACGCGCTGAAAAAACCAAATTAATTGCTCATCTTTTTTTTTTTATTATTAATAATTCATTATTATAATTATTAATGAGAAAATAAAAACATTAAAATAACATATATGGGCAATTCCATTTTTAACGTAAGTTAAAAATGGAATTGCCCATATATGTTATTTAAATGCGCAACAACTTTATCAAATATTTGCTTATTTAAACTTTTAAATTAAACTTTTAGCAATTTTATATGAAAGCTGTTGGTCTAATAAATAAAATAAGCTTAAAAGTTTTGAGTTCGGCCAAAAGAGAAAAACTTAACAATAATGCACATATATATAAAAAATATATATGTGCATTATTGTTAAGTTTTTATTTTCTCATAAATAATTATAATGATAAATTATTAATAATAAATAAAACCAATAAGATGACTAATTAGTTTGATTTTTTCAGTGCATTTTTAAAATGCGTCATTTTTAATATATGCAAAAAAATCGTGGCCATGTTATCAATAAAAATATATATATGCCTGGTCATTCAAGCCGTGCGACCGCACGCCTATCCTGAGAAGGCCTGCATATACATATATGTGTGTGTATATATATATATATATATATATATATATATATATATATATATATATATATATATATATATATATATATATATATATATATATATATATTTATATATATATATATATTTACATTGTTAAAAGTTTAATTATGTCAGTTGCGTATTTTAAAGTACCGCATTGTAATTAAATTTAATTTTGAAACCACATTATAAATCATTGTTAGTATTTATCTTTATAAAGTATCTTTAAATGGATTTCCAAGTACCAAGCAGGGCTTGTGATGAAAAAAATTGCTAAGCCTGTTATATTGCACTCATAATCAGTCAACAAAATTCAGGTCGGCATTCGGCAATGTCGATACAAAAGCCGACCTATCTTTGCTTTAGGCTTGGACCTATCTTGACCCAGGCTTGGACAGGAATGGAGTGCAATTGCCCTCTGTAACTGACCACGCTAATATTTTTTTTTCTTTGCAACTTTACCATGGCTATTTTGATGTTTTAAAATTTGAATGCAATATAAAAAGTGTTATGTTATAAATATCAATTAATTGTTGATCTTTAATAAAGTTTTTATTTAACGCGAAGTCCTTAAATAAAACCATAAAATTAATTATAGTTATTGTTTAGATAAACGCATGTGTAAATTAATAAAAAATGTTATATAATAGTTTTTTTTATATAGGCATGTTTTTATATGATAAATTTAAACGTTTGAAACTATTTTTCCATGTCTTCCTAAAACATTTTTAACCCATTATTTTTAGAAATAATTTTTAAGTTACTTTAATTTGTGAATAAGTTCAAAAGCTTTTAAACATTTAATGTGAATTACACAAGAATATAAAATAAGTTAATTTACTTATATAAGCATGTATTTTGTTGATTAGTGAAAAAGTTTTAAAGCATTTTGTAATGTTCATACTATTAATTTTTATAATTAAACATATGATTTTTTAAAATGTTTTAAATAAACATTTTATTTTTTTATAATTTTATTTTTTTTTCTTTCAATTTTGCTAGGAATGAATAAGTTTAAATCTTTTATAATAATTTTTAATTTTGTTACGCGAAGCGCTTACTAATATAGTTGTAATGCTTAAATTAAAATTAAATTAAAATGCTTTTGGCAGTTTATTTTATTTAAATCGCAGGCGCATTTTATTTATTTATTTATTTTTTTATTTTTTTACGAATGTTTTTACAAAAAACTTTTTTTAAATTAGACTTACTAATTAAAGCATGAAATTACTAAAAATTACTATTTTAAAAAGGCTACGTTATTTTTTGAAACAATTTTTTTTGTAACTTTTTTGAAAAAATAGTTATATAATTTAAAAATATTATATACAACACTTTTCAATAAATTTAATAAAATTTGTTTATTTATTAAATAATTTTTACATTAGTAGTAATTTGTTACTTAATTTAAAAACGTTTTAATTTCATTTTTGAAATGATTTTGTTTTTCGTTTCTTTTTTCGTTAAGAATTTTTTTTTCATTAGTTTTTTTTTTTCTTAGTTTAAGTTTAGCTTAGCATTTCTACATTCAGAGCGTTTCTGAAATTTTTAAATCATCAAAAAAAATAAACAATCATGGTCAAGTTGTCAAAAAATAAAATCATTTGCGTGGTCAGCAATAGCGCTTGATCCCACGCCATTCCTGTCCAAGCCTGCTGACCTGAATATCCTAAAGTGTTGGCATGCAAATTGAAATACTTTAAATAAAAAATTATAAATTGATATTTAACAAATATTACTAACTTTTTTATTGTAATTACTTGCTTTTCAAGTTTGACATATTTGATTAAAACAAAAATTTATTCATTTTTTTTCAATTCTTTTTTTCTTTTTTTCTCAAATGTATTTGAGCATAGCAAGGTTAAAAAATATTACTTTTTAAATGCCTGTTCTTACGCTTTTTTAAGCAAAATTATTATTTTATTAAGTTATAAAATATAATTTTAATTTATTTTATTAGTTAAAACCATTTAAATAATAAAATAATTTACATGTTTACAGTTTTTTAAATATTATTTAAGATCAGCAAAGTATATTAAAAAAGTTTAGCCTTGGTATAATTATGTTAAATACATGCGGAGAAAAAACATTAGTTACAAAACTTTTTTTTAATTTAATAGAAGTTAAGGCTTCCATTAAATTGCAACAGTAATACAGTAAGCAAGCTTAATTTGTTAATAACAGGATTTAAACCCCCATTTTTCAATAACAGCTTAAGCTGTTATTGAAAAATGGGGGTTTAAATCCTGTGGATTTCAAACTGATGATTTAGGTGAAGTAATTTTAATATGGTGTAAAACTGCCGAGAGTATTCAGAGCTTTTAAAAAATTGTCATAATAAAAATAAAAGCTGTGCTAAATTAGCAACAGAAACGTTTGTACGGGGAGCATCAGTTATAAAAAAAATAGCTTGATGATGATTGGACAGAAAAATCTGATAATGAGTATATTATGAAAATACGTCAATAAAATAATCGCCATTGCACAAAAACAATGTTTATATATAAGAAAAAAAAACTATTTTTAGTATTTTTAACTTTTGTTTTCTCTCCATCAACTTACATATAGTTATAATTCATACTATACTACAATTAAATATTAAAAAACACCACCCCTAACTACTTATGATGTTTAAATGTTTAAACATGTTGAAATATAAATAACATGTTTAAATAAATGCTCGAGATAACATCGGATGTATTTTTATACTCTTACTTAAAGAATTTCTGCGTGTACTTATCTTTATTATAAAGTGTTTGTTTTCCTTAGTTATTATACTGCTGCTTATTGTGTTGTGTTTTATGTCTAACAAATTAAAGAAATTTTGTAATATTTGTAATTTATGTTCATTTGTTTATCAAAATATTCTTACCAGAATTATGGCAATTATTTATAATTTATTTTTTCTGCAAAATTTAT